CGCCCCACACCCTCCTACCCCACCCAGCCATCAGTAATGGTTAAGTGGATAAAGGAGCAGAGCTGGTCTCCAGTGAGAGTTGTCACGAATGGGGTCATGGGGCTGGCTGGGCGGTGGGGCCCAGACAAATGAGTGGGTGCCTGTACGTGCAACCCGGCCCTCTGCTCAGGATCTGCGCACCCCACCCCTTCCTCTGGCCATGCTGGCTGGCCGGCCCTTTCCTTACCTCCCTCCTCCACAAAGCCAGAAGGGGGGCAGGCCCCTGCAGGATTTCTGCTGTGCTGTCCTAAAGCACCCCATTGTGAATCTATCACCCTTCCTGTGGAACCTCCCTTGGGCCCCTGCCTTACTTGACCCTCAGAGCCCCCAACAGCCAAAGCTACTGGGTACTTTCTGGAGGCCCTGTGTTGCACCTCCTATCATCAGTAGCTTCCAGTCCCATCACTGGGTTCCACCCCTTAGAATCCTCCCCCCGACACGTTTAAGTACTGATTGCAGTGCCACCGGGAGCAGTGAATGAGTGAACAGGACAGGGGCTTCCAGGCTGGGCCAGGCACTGGGGCAGCCAGGGGTGAAAGGCGAGAATATGAACCATCATGGTGGCCTGGGCTGCCCAGTGGGCATAAGTTGGCTCAGCCTCCTACCATGCCTGGGAACTCTGGGTCCACCCTCCCTGTACCAATGCAGAAGCAGCCCCTACACCCTGGAGGGCCTGCCCTCTGCCCCCATTTAAGGGCTGTGGAGTCTGGGTCAGCAGAGGCAGGAGTTGGGGCCTCTGACTGCCCCCGTTCCCCTTCCTTTCTGGCCATGCTCAAACAGGGTGGAGCTCACGGCAAGGGAGTAAGGGTTTGAGAGCTTGACCTCTGGCACCAGAGGTCGAGCCTGCTACAGGGTGTCCTGATCCTGTACCAGGGCCATGGGTGAATGTGGCACGATTCCTGGTCTCGTGTGCAACATGATGCTGCTATAGGCCCCAGTGCCTGGGTCCAGGAGGCAGCACAGGTGAGTGCCATCTGTGCCAGGGCCAGATCTGCCCCCTCTCCAGCCTTCAGCCAGCCCATGCCCCTGCCATTGGCAGTCTGTGGGGATTGGTGACCCCTCTGTTCCTGAACTTGGGGGCTAAAAGGGGAGGTGACTGCCCAGCTGGGATGTGTGCTGGCAGACCTTATCTCAGGTTCCTTCCTACACTGAACCATGAGGCAGACTTCAAAAATAGCTAGAGCCGTGGAAGAGGCCCACCTTCCTCAGCAGGAGCTCACCAGCTCCCTCAAGTGGCCCAGAGGCAAAGGGACTGGGCATTCATAGGTAGAGCCAGGGTTGGAACCAAGCCTTGCACATGTTAGGCAAGCGCTGCACCATCGGGCCCAGACTCATCCTTGTTAGAATGGTACAAAAACAACCACATTGTTGTTTCCTTCAAGGCCACCAGCAAGAGGTGGCCCTTGGACTGACAGGGCTGCTCACCAGGGAAGGTGCCAGATTGAGACCCTGTATTCTTTTGGAGGAGCCTAGGGGTGGAGCTTAGCTGCTAGGCCTCTTGGCCTCCTGTTCCTCCCTCTCCTAGGAACCCCTGCAGGGAGCAGTAGGAAGCAGCCTGAAGCACCTGGGGCTCACTGTCATCACGGGCAGGCAGGGACAGTTTTCTGTCCCTTCTACAGGCTAGGAGCCTGACAGCATGTCCCACCAAGGTTTATTCAGTTGCAGTGAGTTACACCAGCCACTGAGGTACAGAATGGAGGACCAGAAGTCTCTGGGAGGGTGATGAGGCTGCCCAGGTAGGCAGGGCAAGTTCCAGTCTTTCTGGAGCCAGGCAAGGGGTGCTAAGATGTATTGCAAGGCAGCGTGCCCACTTAGGGACAGCTAGCCCCAGGTTCACCGCAACTCAAGGCCGTCACCTTTGTGTCCTCACGGAAGCTGGATGGACAGTCAGTATAGCCTCCTGCCAGAAGTGAGACATGCCCCCCCACCGGATGGGGGAGCTGCAGCCCGAACCCAGTCAGCAGAAACTGCATGGGTCACAGTGCCCTCTGCTGTTATGCAGGCTGGGCTGCTCTGGTGTGGGAAGAGCTGAGAGCCTGCTGCAGAACAGGCCCCCTGCAGGCAGGAGGAGCGCCCCCCATGCCGGCCCCCTGTGGCCAGCCAGGGCGATGCTTCTTTCAGAATCATGGACGCTAAGATGCAGAAGTGGAGCCGCAGATCAGGACTGCCGAAGTGCCCAGGCTTTCCTCTCTGAGACAGTCCTCCGGCCTGGGCTGGCAGTCTATTCATCCTCCCCCTCCGGCTGTGCCTCCTGCTGCCTCATGGCCTCCAGGAAGGCCAACTCCTTGGCTTCTTTCTTCTGGTTTCGTGCCTCATACTCTAACCTGGGGAGGAGGGGGTGGGACCAGGGGTGAACTAGGCAGGTACACATTGCTCCTCAACTGGACCACCCTTGATGGGGTACCTGTTTTTGATGATCCTCTGCACAATGAGGTCTGTGGTGAGGTTGCTGCCACTGTCGATCTGATGGAAGATGCCTCTCCTCTTGGGCTCCTAGAGGCCTCAAGAGAAGGGAGGAGTGAGGTTCCTCCTGACTGCAGCCTGTTGGCTCAGGCCCTGTGCTCTTTCCCAGAGGAAGGTGAGGCTTAGGCGCCTGTCAGCCCTGACCCAAGGAACCCACCTGGTAGGGATCAGCGCCGTCCCTGTCAGGCACAATTTCTGTCTTCCCATGACACACCAGGTCCACCTGCAGAGGGAAGAGGTCAGGAGCCCTCCCCAGGGAGGCCACACCACCCACACCTCCCAGGTAGGCCTTGGGCCTGGGTGTGCCAGCTCCGCCCAGTCCTCATCTCAGGCACCTCCCTGGGAGTCCAAGGCAGCACAATGTGCCCGCCCACAGGGAGCCTCACCTTAAAGTGACCCAGAAGCTCTGCGGTGACAGAGTATGGCGCCCCAATCACCACTTCTGACACATACTGTGGGGACAGTAAGCAGAGGGGCTAAATTGGTCTGTTTCCGGCAAGCCAGAACTTGGAGAGTGGCGGTGGACAATCCCAGCACAGGGCCAAAGCTACAAGTAAGCCAATGACAGGGCTGCATGGCTGGCCTGCAGAGCAGGGGAGTCCAAGGCTTCTGCACCCCCCGGACCCCTTGGGCACCACCCACACCTCACCCGGCAGGCCAGTACGCTCAGCGTCCGCTCATGCAGGTTCATGATGGGGTAGTTCTTTCCCTTGTACCGGTTGACCTCCTATGGCCAAAGTGAGATTGGCTCAGATTGAGGACCTCAGGTAGACAAACTGCCCTCCCTCCCTGCTGTCCCTGGTGAGAAGAAATTGGGAAAGGTGGCGCCCTCACAGGAACATCCAGACATGACAGTCCTTAACCCCAGAAGACAACCAAACTCTGCCCCCACAGACTACCTGAGCCCACACTGATCCCAGGTTCCCCTCAAGGGCCTCTAAGACTCTCAGCAGCTTGAGTGCTGGAGAGCCAGAGGGAGCAGAGACCTGGTCAAAGTGCAGGCCAGCGATGACATAGGGCCTGTCTGCCAGCTTGTGCACCTTCTCCAAGAAGTCCACATGCCCGATGTCTATTAACAAGTTAAGAGGCAAGAACAAGCAGAGAGGGCAGGCAGCTCTGAGCCCCCAAAAGCTCAGGCCCTCCAGCCCCACCACCATTCTCATTGCTGATGGCCGTCCCTCTGTACCAGCCAGCCCCTCCCCAATCCACATGAAGGTTTGGCACAGAGGAGGCCTGCAGAGGATACGGAACAGATCAAAGGCGCCAGCCACGTAGATGACAGTCTCCCCTGGCTGGGGTTCCTTTCCAGAAGCAAACTGTATGATCTTCTGAGATGTCTGTAGGAACTGGGACACCCCTGTCCAGGGATTCCGTCCCCCAGGGCACTGTCAGCCAAGAGAGGGAGCTGGTCAGCAGCAGAGGCCTGGCCACCACCACCAACATGACTGGTGCCAGGTCAGCATGGTGCCCCACCACGGAGAGAAGTCCAATGAAGGCCGGAAGACACAGCCCTCTCCGGGACCCAGCACCTCAAGGCCACCATCTGGTCACCTGGGAGGAGCCTTCTGAGGAAAGTGTCCCTGGCAGGTGTTGGGTGAGGGGGCTACAAAGGGAGAGAGGGCCAGGCCACTTGGTTAGAGGCTGCATGCATATCTACCTGCCTGGTATCCACCAACTGGCCAGGCCTAGAGGTCAGTGCCTGGGCAGTGCTGGGAAGTGCTGGGAAGGGAGGGAGGAGGGCTGACTAAAGCTCTGAGTTGACCCGTCCCCAAAGCAGGGAGGGCGGGAGGGGTGCAAGCGAGTCCCGTGGAAGTGTCGCAGCGGGCATCACTCCACTCCCGGGCGGCCACTCACCTTGCCAAAGCTGTCTGCGTACTTGCGGTACTCAGAGAACATCTCCTATACACAGGGAGAGGGCACTGAGAGGAAAGGCGGGAAGGCCTGCAGGTGGATGACCAGTGGAGCTGTGACCCACCCCCCATCCTGTAATGTCCTCCACCTGGGGACCCATGGACCCTGCGTCGTCCCTGCAGACTCACCTGGCTGCTGTGATGGGCCTTAGTCACCAGCAGCATGCGGCCCACCAGGTCTGTTGTGGACACACCCTGGGTGCGCTTGCATTCTCTGAGGGACAGAAGCATGTTCAGGGACTTCGCATCCTGGACACGCTAGCCAGGCTTTGCTTATAGCAGGCCCCACCTGAGGGACGCGACCCTCGCCCTGCCCCCACACTGGTGTCTCCTCCCTGTACTCAGCTGCAAGAGGAAAACCCAGACTAGGAGAAGGAGAAAGATCACTGTGCTTTTTTCCCTTAAAGGAAACCAGGATCAAATCAACGTGAAGGTGCTCTGCAGTGCCTAGTGGTGCAGGCCAGACTCAGGCCCCCTCATGCCCAGGTCTTGCTCCAGTACACGTGCTCTGCTAAAGGGACCCCAGGCTGCACTGTCCCTCACAGGAGCCACTGAAAATAGCTGGGCCTTTAAAGTTAATTAAAAGCCAGTTCCTCAGAGGCACCAGCTGTGCTGCAACCTCAAGAGCTGCATGAAATCTGAGGCTTCCACTAACAGCCAGTGCCTATTAAGAATGCTACCATCTTAGGGCCAGAGATTTAGCTAAGTGGTTCCACCGCCTGCCTTGCAAGTTCAAGGTCTCGAGTTCGATCCCCAGCACCAAAATAAATAAATAAATAAATAAATATCAAGAATGCTACCATCTTTGCCACACAGCTGGGCTGCAGACCCATACCCACAACAAGTGTCTTCCTTGCCACAGCTGACAGCCTTGGACACAGACCCAGATGTTCCTCTCATAGGTGACTGCAGAGCCCTGCTGTCTGGTGGGGCTGCCTGGGGCTTACCTGTACCTCCCTGCCTCCTTCACTTCCTCATAGGTATCACGGCCATCTACGGTCAGCGTGATGTCATCTAGGGGTGACATGCACACAGAAATAAGGATTCTTATCCTAGAGCCCACCAGAGGTTCAGGACCCCACCCCCAACCCAGGGTGCTTGTTTCTAGTAAAGGATCCAGAGCCTTTTCAGATCCCCACCACCTGCAGATGTCACACCAGGAGATCTGGGCCTGGGCCCAGCCCTTGTCCCCAGGTCCCGCCCACTCACTGCCATGAACACAGAAGTCGCAGTTGTACTTGTCCAGTGTCTCCAGGGTGGTGACATAGGGAGCTGCAGGTATCACCTCATCTACCCACTTGATGGCCTGTACCATCTTGTATCTCTCCTCCTGGGCAAACACCGGAGGCCCCTTGTGCTTGGCGATCTCCTCTAGGGCCAGAGAAAAGGACAAGGACAGACAAATGGCCTTTAGCCGGCTGCCTTAGGAACCTGCTTCCCTATACTGACCAGGCCTGTGACCACACAGATGGGCATGTGGTGGGCAGCCAGCCGTTCTTGGGCCCTCAGTCCACAGGCCAGGACCACATGCAAGCGGCTACTGCTTATTCTCTGGCCAACAGAAGTGCTCAGAGCCTCGCTGGGTAACAGGATGGCCCCCTCAACCCAGGATAGGTACCAGTCCCCATAGGCCTCAGGAGCCATGTTAGGGCTGGAAGGGAATGGGCAGCACAGCCAGAGAGGGACTTGGCCCAGTGACAGCAGTGCATATGGACTCTACCAGTCTATTCTCTATTCCTGGGCCACCTTCAGCTGGGGTCGGGCTGGGCCTAGCTTATTAAGCTTTCTCACTCACAGTGTGTTTTGGAGAAGGACACTTAGGCCTGCCCTGCCCACCCCAAGATCCTGCAGGCTTTTGGTCAGCTGATGTGGCCCCGAGAGGACTATAGGGTGACAAGCCCAGAAGCCCACACCCTACCATCAGTGTGCACACCCACAATGAGGTAGTCGCCCATAGCCCGTGCCTGGCGCAGCTGGTTGGAGTGGCCATAATGCACCATGTCATAGCTGTGGGAACAGACAGAACAGTCAAGTATTGTAGTGAGGAGGGTGGGGACTAGGAGGCCTGTGATAGAGCAGCTTTTCTCCTTTAAGACCTCTTCAGGAACTGCTTCCATGACCCAGCCCACCTTGGCTTTTCAGAGGGGAGGTGGGTACGTAGCTGTCCACACCCCCAGATCCTCTGCTTGTGAGCAGACTGCTATCAGTGCTAGATCCAGCAAGGATACAGCAGGCAGGGAGAAGGCTAATAAAGTCTCCAGGGCCGGCAAGATCCCAGGACCAACTCCCCACTGGGAGCTGCATAGCCATGTCCAAATGCCTTGGATCCTCTTTGTTCTTGTTTCCTCCTGTCAGCAAACACAAAGTGCTGTGTTTACTCATTTATCTATTTATTTATTTTTGGTACTGGTGATCGAACTGAGGACCTTGCACTTACAAGGCAGGTGTGGCACCACTGAGCTAAATCCCTGGCCCTATTTATTTATTTATTTATTTGAGGCAGGGTATCACTACGTAGTACTGGCTGGCCTTGAACTCACTGTGTAGCCAAGGCTGGCCTGGAACAAATGACGATCCTCCTGTTTCAGCCTCTTACATGCTGGGATTACAGGCATATGCCAGCACACCTGGCTAGATCAGTCACTTTAAACTTTAAACCAACATTAACTCTGACACAAGCGGGTGGTTCAGTCCCAGAGGACAACACAACACAACACAACACAAAACAAAAAAATCAAAAAAGCAAGGGCCTGGGAATCACTGGCTTTGAAAATCTTGTTTTTCTCCTTCATGGCCTGGCTTAGCTTTCGGGTGCATAACTGCCAGTGTCACCTGGTTCTAGAGCTCTTGTCCGCAATCTGGGTCTGGCCATGAGCCCTTTTCGTGGGTGCTCTTGTGTGCACTGGTAACTGCCAGAGCGCTTCTCTGCGGGGCCCTCTCACTCCCACCACCACAGTGCAGGGGCCCAGCACACAAGACTGAAGTGTGGCCAACCCACGTGCTCGCTGGACAGGTGGAGCGAGGGGAGCACAGCCAGGAAGGAGGGTGTCAGAAAGTCCAGGTACTGTGGCCCGGGTCGGGGCCAAGGTCAGGGTCCACTGCGTTCCTACCCCCACGGGGCAACAAGGCTGCGAGTGAAAAGACACGCCTCCTCCCCTCCAAGACCCCAGGAGCCTCCGGCTGATAGGTCCTCTTCCTTCCCCACGTGTGTCAGTTACTGTCCGTGAAGGAATTGAGGGCAGCAAGCTACCAGAAGAGCTTACCTGTTCTACTTGTTGACAATCCTCAACTCTTCTGACAGCAATGCCCTCACTCAACTGGCCAAAGAAGCCTACCGAATCCCCGCAGCGCCGCAGCCCGGAGGCCTGCGCACCCCATCACCCCGTAATCACCTCGTCCTTCTCGGAGGACACTGCCGGTGGCTCCGGAAACTGCACGACTCACTCCCAACCTCGGAGCGACCAAAGGACTTGCTGGACCCTGCGGCCCCCAGCCCCGGAGGGTTCCAGCCCGGCGGACCCCACCGCGGGGCCGCAGGGTGCGACCCGGAGAGCTCTGGGGCCAGATCCATCGCAGCCCCAG